TTTTTTTGATTTTTTTTTATTTTATTTTTTTTTTATTTTTTTGGAGGTTGAAGATGTCTACTTCACAAAAATCAAAGATGTCAAAGAATGAGAGTTTGGATCTAAGGTATAAGCACCCTAAGTGTTATTGCAACACATTTGCTCACATTAGGGTCGTTGGTCCTACAAAAGAAACTGTTGGCAAACTATTTTGCAATTGTCCGTACAACAAATGTCGTTTCTTTGCTTGATTTAAACCTGCCTCGATGAATTGGGTGAAGTCAAATGAAATCCACGAAGATGAAGTTTATTGTGAAGATGATGATGATGAAGTTCAGTCAACCGGAGCAAAGCTAACAAATGAAAATGTAGAAGTCGCAACAATGCTGAAGGAGATTCAGTCAAAGATGGAGAAAATTGATAAAAAAATTTAGCGATGGATTGTTTTTTCTTGTTATTGTAATCCTTTTGGCTGTTATTGTTCTCAAGTAATTTTAGATGATAAGTACCTTATGCGCCATCGAAAAATCGAGAAGTTGTCGCTGCAAATTGAACCCTAGCTTTTGAATATCGAAAATTACTCCTCCATTCGGCTCGAACATTAAAGATAAAGTTGCATCATGTTATGCGCCATCAATCCATCTACAAATTATTAGTTGAAGATCGACAATTTTTTTGGAGAATCGTGGTGTTGAGATTGGGATTTTTTTGAAACAATCGGGGAGAGAGAGAGAGAGAAGAGAGAGAGAGAGCGAATTTAAAAAGTTAGAAATGAATTTTGTTTCAGATGAGAGTGATTTCTCAAGTGACAAGGGCATAACGGGTTGTTCACAAAAAAGTTAACGGTGTTAACTCCCAGACATAAGTTGAGGAGAGTATGCTAGCCAAACTACAATAGAAGGGAGTTTGACGCATTTTTTAAAATAGAGAGAGGCAATCCACAGATTTAGTATATTATATGGGAGTTTGGTGCATTTTACCCTATTTTTAAGTATATAAATATTTTTTTAGCACTCGTGCGGTGTTTTATAACGAATTATACACCTCCAATTCCAAACGGGCGAGTACACTTTCTGCCTGCCCGTACACTCGCGTCAGGTTTTATGCCATATTATTTTTACCAGTAGGCTTACCGGGAAATTTCAGTAATATACATACACATACGTACAAAGCCAAGTCACACATGACACACCCATCCCATCTTTTTAAGAACCGCTCTTAAATTATCATTTCTCGCTCTCGTCCTCCCACAATTTCTCTCTCTCTCTCTCTCAAAATCACTGGGTTCGAAACCAGTCACTGTCCTCCCGATTCACTCAATCGCCGGTAATGGAGGTCGAGCAAGCTCACATGCCTTCCGGTTTCGACCTGGTCTCCGGCGACATTCCCCCATTTTCGCTTCCCGATGTGTACGGATCCTCGGAGGAGAAGTCGCCGAAGCCACGGAAAGTGACTGGTGAAATGCCCGACAACGGCGGTGGGCGCGGGACCGCGCCTGCTCCGTCGATTTCCTCCGCCGCTCTTGACATATGCCCGTCCGCTGCGGCGATGAAGCTTCAGAAGGTTTATCGGAGCTATCGTACCCGCCGCATGTTAGCCGACTCCGCCGTGGTGGCTGAAGAACTGTGGTAATTGGACCAAGTCGTCGCTTCTGCTAATTTTTGCCACTAATGTGACGAGAAGTGATTATTATTGTTATTTTCCCCCAATGATTGTGTGATTTTACAGTGCCTTCCATGCAGAAAGTGCTTAGCGTATTCGTTTTTACCTTTGTAACTTTTTCTTACTCAATTATGTTCAATTTGGATATATCTTTTAGGTGGCAAGCGCTGGATTTTGCACGACTAAATCACAGTACGATCTCTTTTTTCAACTTCTTGAAGCCGGAGACGGCTGCATCCCGATGGAACCGTGTTACATTGAATGCTTCGAAGGTACTTCACTTTGTAGTATTTTCAACTTTTTCAGTTGTTTCCAAAATTAATCGACGATGAACTGTAAAATTTGAAAGAAAGAGAGAGAAGTTAGATCTTGAAGCAGTGAAATCAGCAGAGGTGATGAATTTGTCTCAGTTGCATTGTTTTGTTGTTTTTTACTATTAAATTATGTGGACAGGTGGGCAAGGGTCTGTCTAAAGATGCCAAAGCACAAAAGTTAGCCTTCCAGCACTGGATTGAAGCTGTGAGAATTAAATGATTTTTTGAATTATTCTTTAGTTTGATTTTAGAGATAGGTTATGATTTATGATTGTAGATTATGGAAGTTTAATTTTGGTTGTTGGATATTTGAACTAGATCGATCCAAGGCACCGTTATGGGCACAGCTTACATATTTATTATGAGGAGTGGTGTAAAACTAGCGCTGGTCAGCCTTTCTTCTATTGGTGAGAAATTTCGAGCTACATTTGATGTCGACTAATATTTGTTTCGTTGAGTATTATTGTTGTTACTTAACCAGTAGCTGATATTATTATCAGTTTTCCTTGGTGCTTCGTATATATATGGTGGTCATTCGTGTTGGATTTTTGGAATCCACTCGAGCAAGTACAATACTAAATATTCGTATCAATATGATTATATGAAATACTATATTTTGAATACATAATAATAAACAAGTTACTCGAAGAAAAACTGGTTCATGATTTTCTCCATAGAGTACAATTCGTTTGAAAGGAAATACTAAGATGAGGAAATTGTTTGATGTTTTTTTATTGCTTTTCCTATCTTTGATGGTTGGTATGGGTGTTTGTCATCTGGTGAAGACATGTATTGTACATTATATCTCGATTTGCTCATTTTTGCTGAAGCGTGGACGGAAGGCAGAAAAAAATATTAAGACCACCTTGGGGTTATAACTTGTAATTTTTGTAGGTTGGATGTTGGAGATGGCAAAGAGGTGGAACTAAAAGAGTGCCCAAGATCAAAGCTTCGTAAACAATGCATTAAGTATCTTGGACCAGTATGTTCAGAGTTTCATCTGACTGACTAAAAATCTTAAATTAACAAACTGATAATATTATTATCCATGTATGGCGTACATTCTTCACTTATTTAGTTATTTATTAAGTACTAATGAAGTAACCGATATGTAATAAGCATCTGAGTATGAGTGCTGACTGCTTACCGTCTCTACCGATACAATCTTTATATTGGTGTTTGTATACCTTTTTCCAGCTCATTCTCTTGGATTGTGACTCCTTCCATTTTAGAGTGGAGTATTACTAATTGTTTTCAATTTTTCATACTTGTTCGTTTCAGAAAGAGAGAGAACATTATGAATACTACGTCGTTGATGGGAAAATTCTGAACATATTAACTGGGGAACCTCTAGATACGGACAGAGGAGTACCGGGATCAAAATGGATTTTTGTGATGAGCACCTCTCAAAAACTCTACTCCGGGGAGGTAAAAGCACCGATAGATTCAGCAGAATTATCTGATTTACCTGTTACCACACGACGCTTCTAATTATTTCGAAACATTTTACTTGTCATTACCTTCAGAAAAAGAAAGGTTTGTTCCACCATTCAAGCTTTCTTGCTGGAGGAGCTACTTTAGCTGCTGGAAGGCTAGTTGTAGAGGATGGAGTGCTTAAGGTATTGTTTGATACACCCAGTTGCTTCTAAAAGGACAATCTCACTCTGAAAATCAAATTATCTTTTCTAATGATCTCGGCCTAATCCAATTGTGTTTTTATAATTTCCAGTGTATCTCGGCTTACAGCGGACACTATAAGCCGACTGACGATCGCCTGGACACGTTTTTATTATTTCTCAAGGAAAATGGAGTCAACCTGGATGAAGTTGAGGTATAGTACCTCATATTTTGCTTGGCTTAATACCCTCTTACCACGGTCTAACGAGTACATAATGCTTATTCTATGCCGGTTTCACATTTTCACGCTTCTTTAAAAATGTTTCCTTGAGTTGGGAGATAAAATTGCAATCCACCAAGATTTATATACGCAAACTGTTCTGAATGGATTCTTTAGGCAGGCGGTAAACATGGCCATAGGAACCCACATGAATAGGATTGTTACTGATGTATTTTCAATTTCGTCCTTCATTTTGACAAAGAAAAAACAAATAATAAATAAAGAAAAGCTTATGGCTTAACCGTTGGCCTTAATTAAACCAGATATGTAAGTCAAACGACGATTATGAGAGCAACAAGAGCGGCAGATTGTCGATGGATGCCGCGGTTATACCTGAAGTTACGTTGAGCTCGGAGTCTGACCTCCTACAGGAAGAGGGCCCGACACTGGACGCAATCGAGCAAGCTTCCAACCCTCAAAATAAGACTGAGTACAAGAGGACTTTGTCGGGTGGCCTTCAAAGCCCCAAGGCTGAAGTGCCCAAGACTGCCATACTGCAACGGATTAATTCCAAGAGGGCCGCCAGGTCGTACCAGCTGGGCCATCAGCTCTCGGCCCCGTGGTCCACGGGTGCCGGCCCAAGAATTGGCTGTGTGGCAGATTATCCAGTGGAGCTGAGGTTGCAGGCCTTGGAGATCACGAACCTGTCCCCAAGGACGGGCGGCAGCCCGCCTCTGTTCACTCCCAGAGGGACTGCGGCTCTTGTTTCGCCGTATAAGGATGATGTGGAAATAGTTTGAGTTATTCTCAATTTGGATTATAAGCTGTGGTTCACTGTTCGTCTTCAGGACAGGAATAAGATGTGCACATGCAATGCAAGTAGTTTGAAAGTTAGTGGTAATGGTGCTTTATAGCACTTAAACAAAACCAAACATGAAATCTAGCCATTTTTATAAGAAAGATGAAATATAGCCATAAAGGCATGTGAGAAGACATAATTGCCCTTAACACCATTTTATCAATTTTTTCCTATTTTCATTTTTTTTCACTATTTTCTCCCTTTTTTCACCATCTTTATTTCCCCCATTTTTCCTTCGTTA